AACAAGTTCGACGAATCTTCTTCTTCCGAACAAAAGTAGTTCTGAGCTAGAACTACTAACTAACTTAGCTAGTTAGAACTACTAACTTGTGGCCGGAAAAAGACTTTTTTTTAAGCAAGTAAAAACAACTTGTGACGTAAGTAATTAATTTTGGTCAAATTCGTAAGTTATGTATAACTTATGACCGTGACTGCTGTAAGGAACGATTTGTTCATTTTTAGGTGCTTGGGTATTGGAAAGTCGCTGCCAGAGGCTACAGATATCGCTACATTAACAATATCAGTAATTAAAAATATTTGTTTTATCTCGTACATCATTAAATCATTAAAGGAACGTTAATAAAGATTAAATTATCATAACAATGTGTGTGTGAATCGTTAGCCACATATACCTTAACAGTTAATTTGAAAAAAGAACTGCTTTAATCGTCTTTTGATTTCGATTACACGTTCTGGTATATATCGCCAGTCGTCCTTATTATGAACATTGTTATCTTTTGTTATAATACTTAATCCTTTTTATGTTCACGAGTATATTAATAAAATATCCTGAATACAAAAAATGGTCGAAAAAATTTATATTTCAATATTTAAATTTAACAAATTAAGAGTCGATACTACCTCAGCTCGAATTTAAATTTTTCCCGTACGACATTAAAAAAAAATATTATTAAAAAAAAGAAATGTTTTTTTCTATAGTGAAAATTTTTAGGAATCGTGTTTTCTATATATCTGTGTCGTGTGTTTCATATCTGTAGATGTTATCTTCAATTATACTGTATATTTTTTCCAAAGTTGTTGATTTAACACTTTTACTGTTATGCGGAATCAACCAAAGACATTTGAGGTAGGTTACTCTTAACCAAAGACTTGAAAATTCTGTCAAAAAGCTTCGTGTATAAATATTTATTTAGGTAAAACTTGATGATCTTTTCATTTGCTCAAAATTATTACGAGACTCAAATTCGATTAACAGGATAATAGTACTTGGTATAATAAAGCCACATCGATCTTAAATCAAAGTGCTTTTATCACATGAAATCATATGAACGTCATAAAAAATAATACGAATTACATGAAAAATTATGTACGAAATTTTATAACTCTCCTATATAAATAAAACATATCCACTGATTTTGTTCCTTGAATCTTTAACCCTCTCGCCTGAAAAGTTGTTATTTTGTAAATGTGTCCTTATTACGTATGGGTGGGAGTAGTTTATTTTAATTTCTACTCTTTTCACAAGTTACAATTTTCCTACTTAATTACAAGGAATAAGTTCCGATTAAAAAGTAGGCACAATTTTAAAAGTATCACCTTAAAAAGAAATCGATTAAATAGCTAACTAAATTTGATACAAGTTTCTTTAAACCATAGGTTTTAGTGTTAAAATAGTTAACTGTATTCTAATTCTACCATGGCTAGTGATACAACTGTAGCACAGCATATTTATTAATCCTATGTTTTAGTTTCTCATGCCGTAGTAAATTTAGTTAATTAATGGCAAAACTTTCCCAATTTCAATGAATAACGTTTTTTGTCTTTTTATGCATGACAACTTTTTTGACGATATATCCCTCCGGAATTTTTGTATCTATTAATTTTTCAGCAAAATGTTTTTAATAAAACAATGAGCATCAATGTAATATGAGTTTGATTATAAAATACGGTTATAATTAACAAAGACGTGTGATATCAATACCTTATATTTCAGCCATTGTCTGATGGAGGTGGACTTTCCTTGCTCGTATTGTCACCGTGAGAATTAGACTTCCTTTTTTATGTACATTATGATACTACTCGTGTGATACTTCACGGTTTGTAAATAAATAAAAATGTTTTTTTTTTCACATGCATTATTATTTATTATGCATCATTATAATGCCTATATCTATTGGCATTTTGATATTATTCACATGAGAATTAAAATAGTAGATTGTACAACAAGTGCATAAAACGTGTCATTTTACCCGAGACGAGTATACATAAAATGGGTTTTATGAATGAGTTTCTCACTCTGCTTTTCACTTCGATTGCGAGGAAATTAAATAGCAATATTACAAATAAACGATTATTTAATTAAAATTGAATGTAAAATTACAACAATTAAACATATTTAATGTGATGGTTTTTTTATTTTATGTACTAGAGCATAAAATCCTATTTTATGCACTAGAGCATAAAATCCTGTTTTATGCAGACTACACCCAGCATAAATACGAATTTTAAGTGCATGAGAAGTGAAAATAATATTTTGACGAACTACAAATTAGTTTCATTGAATTTAAGTAAGCAATCCGTTCTTTGTGTAATTTAATTCTGAAACATATAATAGTAACTAGTACATGTTTATTATTAACCAAATATTACGTGAAATTTGTTTAAAATAAATAGTAATAAAGTGCTAGGCAACCATTTACAGGATGGTTAGTTATTTAGTTACTTGTTGTACCAGAGACAAACTTGCAATATTGACGGCCAACTTTCAATTGTGGAGAGGCATTTTAAGAAGAAGAAGAAAGAAGACAACCATGCCAATTAACTGGTCTCAAACCAGAGAATTCCCTGTACTGTGAGTACAGGAGTAACGGAATTCACTCTGGAGCATTACCCACAATACAGGTCAGAACCAACAAAAAAAGTTTTTCCAAATTGATTCTACTGGAAATCGAACCCGCCAACATCACTCAGCTATGGAAATAAATAAACATTACGTAAGTAAGTATTACCTCACCTAATTCTGCCGCCAAGCAGTAATTTGAGCATTACTGCGTTCCGGTTTGAAAGAGTAAGGGTGCTGGTGAAATTACGGGCACATGTCACTTGTCAACTTATGTCTCAGGGTGACGGGTGCAGTGGCAGTGACTCGAAGATCTCTGCGATTTAAAGCTCCGAGTGGCACTGCAACTGTTATGGATAGGCGTATCGCCTACCACTAACGTATCACTTACCAAAAGGGGCACGATTGCCCCGTCACTTGGTATTATAAATAAAAAAAGTGTATGTCTGTGGCTTATAAGATATAGACTGAGATAGGCACTTTTTTGCATTGCATAGGTTTTTACAATGACATGTTGGTAGTTATTTAGTTAACACTTGTTGTACTGAGCCATATATGTATATAGGTAATTAATTAATTGTTGTATTTTGTGTACTAGGCATTCAACTTTGTGAAACGTTTTTTTTATGTGTTAACCACATTTAATTTTGTTCACTTCTACAGATAAAATACTATTCATTTAAAAGCTATTTTAAAAAATAGCATAACGCTTCACGCCTGTGTCGAAATGATTATAAAAGTCTTGTCATTTTCTCATGTTTAGAATAAAAAGAGTAGGTGTACCTAATCTATGCAGTACTTCCGTAGATGTCTCTGTCTTCCGTTTCACGCAGCAGAACTAATGGGAGGTTAAAAGGTAGCGAAGTATTGTTAATTAGATAGGTTGTATGCGTTTACTTTAACTGCCTCCGTGGCCAAACGGTTACCATGCCGGACTGCCACGCAGATGTCCCAGGTTCGGTTCCCGGGCCGGGAGAAATATTTGTATGGCCTACATTGACTTCTCTCGTGAGTTTGGGTGTAATTTGTGGTTGTCTATGTGTCCATGGCACCCGCCGCACAGGGTTTCCCTTGTGCGGGGTTACATTGAGTGCATGCGATATTATTAAAAAAAAATGCATTATGTAATTGCTAAATTACATACCTAAACTTCATATGATACACAAAGAGTAAATAATACCTACTTCAGAATGCCCGGAATGATTTCATGGTTGTAATCTCGGAATAAAAGGCAAAAAATCAAACTAAGAATTACAAAATATTTCAAAACTTATGAAAAATAATAATTGTTAATTACACATCAAAAATATAGAATACAATTCAATAATTGCGGAATTTTAGAGGGAGGTATTATCCACTCCATGTGGTTTTTTTTCTTTCAAGTTTAGGTAAATACAGTCTACCTAAGCCGATCTCTGTCGTGACTCAATATAAATAGTTAAACCTCGCGTAATGATGCTAATTGTGCCAATTTGTAAAAATCTAAAACTGTCTCTAATTCTTTTCAAACATGCGTGTTGTAGCACAGTGATTGTAAATGCTTACTTCACATTTGACATTATGAATAAAAATAAAATCTTTTAAAAAAGTAGGTTTTAGTATCCGTATACCGTGACATTCTACTGGAATCCTACATTCAGCAATGGAATCTTGTTGCCGTGTTTTTGACCTAATTTTATGTCTTCGAAGAAATAACAAGCATGGCATCATTCTATTATACTATATAATACCATGTGTTATGGTTACTAACAAAAGATACTTTTGTTTAACAATTTTATATTTTTTTTATTGTTTATAAACACCAAATTAATAGTAAAATAAAATATAAATTTTAATAGGAACATCGAGTTTTTTTTATTAAAAATACGCATGCTACGATCATATATTATACAGCCTCGACAGCAGTGTTTTTAAATCGACAATAAACATTTTTAGCGCAAAATATTGCATGGAGGTTATCCTAGTCAGCAATTGCGTGATTATCGTACTCGCTGCAGCGACCGACGACACTGACGATCGGAAGCATCAAGGCTCGTCTTATTATTCGCCTATAATTAAACTGCTCCAGAATAAAACACGAGATTTCACAGAAATTTTCATAAATAATATTTTTTTCAAATAACATAATGAATTTTATTTCTTCAATATACCGTGTAAGAACATGAAAATATTTAAAATTGGTGTTTAAAATGACACGCTAGATAAAATATTTTGCTTTCATTGAAAGTGGGTATTTAAGGTTTACTACAATAAAATATTATTCGTCAATTACCTACGAACATACAGAAAGTATTTGAATGTCGAAATAAATACACTTGCTGTTTGTTGATTTATGATTAGAGATATATTTTTCACAATATTACATAAATAATTATCTCCAATTTAGTTTTAACTATAACTATGTAAATTGGATATGTTAAATTTAAAAATAGTATGCTTACCTTGTACTTCATTTTGCTATTTCCAAACTCCTTTTTTTAAAGTATAAAGCACAACACAACTAACTTAAAAAACTATTTGGTAACATTAATTTTATTTGAAAAAGCTTTTTTATTTACGAAGGATATAAATTGTCATCCGAAATTTGGCGCGGAATCGCGAGGCAACCGCGCATGCGTGTTGTGTCGGCGCGCGGTAATGGCGCTGCTGCAGCCGGCTCGCCGGTTTTGCTTCCCGCGTAACTAGCGGTGCAACGACCGCCTGCGACGACAACTAAAAGGCAGTAGCAGCAACAGATGAAGGTGAAGGTAAGCTAAGGTGAAGTACGAAACTGATGTCGAAATCCGATTAGTATGCTCCGGACACTGCTGAGGAAATTTCACTAATTCAGCTTAGTTACCGACTACTTACTGCTGCAGACCCCCTGCAAGATTTCCTAATTTCAGTAAAGAGCTAAGTAAGCTCAATCCAACAATTAAGTATACTTACACAGAATGGACAACGTAAACATTATACCCAAGTTTATCATACAATTAATATTTACGCGTATAATTCATGCTTACAAAAAAACTAAATCGTATCAAGGATACGCGAAAAAAGAACAAATCTAGGCAACAATAAGGAATTCAACTATTGGTTAAAAGCGCAATTTATTACGATATTATTATCTTAAAGGTGGTTGAACTTTCACGAAGAGGGTAGAGATCAATCTTACCGAACGCAGACCTTGTTGAAGCATGTATTGGTACAGACATAACATAGACAAGGCATAGACCTATTCGGGCAACTAAAGATTTCTGGAAATGACAAACCATAATATATTTTTTAACATGATCATATAGCAAAGCATTTTAGGGTCCACTGAAAATCAGCGGCACAGCCTTTCTCGGCGCGAGCGGTGACAATAGCTGTGTGGATCCTTTACATACGCCACAGCCGCACACACATGACATTCACTTCAATTATTATTGAGTTGAATTTATTAATATTGGCTTTGTTGTTGTGTATGATTTTATTTTTATTTAATTTTTTTTTTGTTATTTTATTAAATTTTTTGGTTTTAATTTAATTTTATCTTTTTTCAACTTTTTTACTGTGTATGTGTGTTGTGGCGTAGTAATGAATTATTTGTATTCTATACTATTCAAAGATTTCATTAACAAAAAGTCACGCCACGCGTATCTTGGACAAAACCGCTTCAAACACTAATGTTAGAAGCGCGATTTTGTTACTTAATTTACTTTTACATTTTCAACACGGTGTACTGTTATTATATTAAGTAAGTAGATATTTATCGAGTTCTTAGGTTTTCGCGATTGTTACATATAGGAAATGAAACTATTTTTCCGGATTTAAATCGCGTATATTTGTTTTTTCAAACAAACCGACTTTTCGGGCCCTTTACAGGTCCCATGGTCACAGTTGACTGAGGTGGTACAGTCTTCAACCAGTTATGTCTAATATTAATGCAAACCACCCTATTTTTTCACTATAGTTACAATAGTTATTAATTAAATACCTTAGAATGATAACGCATAGAATGATAGTTTCATATCAAACGAACTGTCACAAGTGAGGCAAAAACCAAATTCATGTAGGCGTAAGCAACTTGTAACTACGCTCGTCGGCACGCACACAAATATACAAATAATGATGCCATGGAATAACCTTTCCCTCAAAAGTGGGGAAATTGTATCTTGCTTAACTCATCATTAAGTTAAAGGTGCCTACAGATTTGCCCGACATTGTCGATCAGGTGCCTACAGATGTGCTCGGTTTTGTCGATGAAAAACGAATATAGCACTTATTTGTAAATCCAAGATGGCGGACACGATTTTTCAAAATATGCTATATGGGTATCCTTTTCGAGGTATTTGGGGATGCTCATTACGAATATGGCACTCATTTCTAAATCCAAGAT